ATGTCAAGCAGATGATTAATCAGTTTTCAGTTCAGAACAATGTTGTCATCATTCTCCTTTGTGATAAAAACTCCCTAAAAGAGCTGAATTGCCCCTACATGAGCTCTTCTGGCATGAGGAGATCTTTACAGGCTAACTTAAAACTTCTTTTTTTCTATGCTCTGCTGTCTCATATGGCTCAGATGTCTTTTTCTAGAGAATAGTTTTCTTTGCCCTTTATATTCACGAGGTTTCTGTGAAGCAATACGTTGGATCTTTCTTAAAGCTCCAAGCAAGGTGGGTCTTTCATCAGAAGACTCCCACCCTATTATGTAAAAAAAAAAAAAAAATAAAGTAGTCCATGTACCTTGTTTTATGTGCTTTTAATTAGTACTTTAAGCCCAGAATTATAGATGCTAATAGAGACAGAGATCCAAACTGTATTCTGTCTGAGTACATATAAATACAGCAGAGTTCACACAGTAAAAATCTTTTTTCAGGGCTAGAAGATATTACAGCTTGTCTTTTGTTGCTGGGTTTCTTTTGGTTTTTTTTTTTTTCATTTTATTTTTTAACTAGAGAAAGTAAAAAGTGAAGCAGCATGCTTGAATTTAACCTACTTCCCTAGGGTCTTATGGTTATCACCAGAAAAGTACTACAAAAGGGGGACACGTGGCATTTGAAATGCAGAATGTCAGGACTGAGGCATAGTAAAACTATGTTGGGAGTTTCCATTAGAGCTTCCTGTTGTAGCAAATAAATCCAGTTCCATTCACACCTGGTATTCTGATACAGACACATCAGCCACATGTCATCTGTCATCAGTTTTTAGGGGGTGTGATAAATTGTTGGACTGCTGGCTTGAGAGCAAAATTTCCTTCTTTGCTGAGATTTCAGCATTTTTTTTGCTGGATCTCCAGGAACTTCAGACCACCTTTCTTTTAACTGCATGGTTCTTTTCTTAATGGAGCTGTCACCCTCAAATCTAATAAAAACTCTCTGTCATCCTTTTCTGGGCTTTCTAGTTTGACAGTTTCGTGTCATAGCTTTGTTCCACAATAAAAATAAAAAATCTCTAAGTGTTCAAGAAGTCCTTGGAAAACTGTAAGTGATAGAGTCAGCATTTACAGAACATATCACAACAGGTCTGACTGACCTTGGCAGCAATAGGATATCACCATCTCTCATGGATGAGCTATTCCTGAATGTCTGTCTTTTATACTGTATAAGGCAGAAATACCTTTTCTGGATCAAGGCTACTACTTTCTGCTTCTCTTACTCTTTAACAGAGATTGCTTATGATAGGGACAAGTTTAATATTATTTGTTTAAGGAATAAGCTTCATTTCTATTAATTCCTGAAATCCTGTCTTGTTCCATGGTACCTTAAGATAAAAATATATCAGGGGTGTTGTTTTAAAGTCTGATACTATTTGATTGAGGATTATTTGTTTGAGGATTTTGTATGTTTTACTTTTTATCACAGTCAAACTGCAAATATTAACATTTGTGCATGTCCTCCAGCTCATCTGCCTTTACTCTAGCTACCAGCATGTAATCAACATTGTTATCTTACTGGAATGGGCCTTGTTCTGGTTTGTTTTTTGTTTTGGGTTTTTTTTTTTTCAGTTTACAGGAGTACCAGTTGAAGGGAATAAATAGTCAGTATTAATTGTTCATCTTTAAAAACAGATGCTTCAGTAGCATGTGTAAGTACAGACGAATTGAACATGAATGTTAATCAGACTCTATGAAGCGTGTGGAGGGGAAGCCCCAAGACACATTTGAAATGATCAAGTCTCTAATAATTTGTTGAATGCATTTAGGTTTATAAGAGCTGCATAGAGACAGTTGCCTGGCTGCATAATGCGCTAACAATAATTAAGTAAAAACAATGAATAACTGGAAGTAAAAGAGTATAAGGAGAAACTCAAGACTTGTTCACAGTTGTAGAATGTAGAAAAAAATACCCATCTTCCTAAGACACCCTTCCCCCTCCCTGCAGTGGAATTTCCCTGCTTTGAAGTTATCTTGAGAAGACACGATTTGCAATTTGCCCAAGAGTTCAGCAGGCCCAAACTGCTGTACCACAGGGTAGGAGGTGGTTTCAAAGCTGAGAGCCCCTCTAGAAGAATGGTCTACAAGCATCTTTCTTTTGAATAAAGTGTGACCTCCACTGGTTGCTGTTGTATTCAGAAACAGCGGAAAAGTCCATCACAGAAGAAAGTGCCATGCTATTTTGTGGGACAAAATCTTAGTTCAGTGTCAAATGCAAGGTTCTTTTTTAGTTCACTGGAAAAATATGTAATGAGTATTTACATATGTATAAGTGGAACTGTATGGGGTGGGGAGAGAGCTGAAGCACGTGTTTGCGCTTACTGAGAGAGTTGTGCATGTCCCTACATCTGTCTGCCTGTCTCTCATTAACATGGGATTTAGCAGTTATGCATTAAAAAAATAAAAATAAAAATAGGCAGTTGCCGAGACTAACAATTACATACTTCTGGTTTATTTGTCTTGCTTTTATGTTTCAATAAGCATTAAAAAATTAAATTATAAAAAACTCAAACTGTCCAAGGCAGAATTTAACCTGGGCCCATGGAAAGAATGCAAACTGAAAGAACCTTGAAGGAGACAGTACCGTTAAGGAAAAATATACCATAAAGAAGAGGTTTAAGAAATCTGAGCACAAGTCATTTGTGCTACAATGGCTAGCTACACTGAAGAGAGTAAAGGGTAGGGAGACACAATATTTCTGAATTTTCATGTCTTTGTGGGTTTAAGTGAGACCCTTAACCTTATTTGAATATGGTATTTTTGTACTTTAATACATTTCATACAGAACATATAAAGAAGATTTAATAACTATCTCTTAGCTGTGGTTTATCTCTACCTCAGAGAAAGCCAAAATGAGTTTCTAGTGAAATGGCTGAAAGAGCATACACGGTAAGTCTTCTATAAAATTATTTCCAGTCTTGCAGATTTGTAAAAGATCTTTCAGAAAGATTCTGTCTTTCTATGTAGAATGTTAAAGATTGATTCTGTGCCCAAAATTTATAAAAGGAAATACAAATAACCTGTGGAAAGCTAGCTTGCCATCTTCTGCTTTTTAAAACCCCCAAGACTGCTTGCCATCATGTGGAGTTTGTGCTATTGTTTAACCCAAGTTTCTCCCTCAGAAAAGGAAATTCTGTTTGAATGAATTATGCATTTATGGTTGTAATGGCAATTAAATATCTTGAAAGGGACTAACCAAATCCCCAGGCTTCTGTGCCTTTTTGTTTTTCTCTTTCAGATGTGCGTCACAGATAAAGGACTAACTTTGTGAACACTCTTTTAGAGTAATAAGGACACAAAATTAACAATACTTATGTAATTAGTCAGCAGACACAAGTGTTCCAGGATAAGATCTGAAGTCACATTGCAGAAATATAACTCAAATACTTAATGCTGTTGTTGTCAACTATTAAAAATTGAAATGTTTCTGCAATATTTCAAATTCTCTGGATAGCTTTGCGTCACACTAAGAAGTTCTTGGGGAGTGGGATTGCATAAGGGCTGTTAACTAACTGCCCAGATGCAAGCTATTCCACTGGCACTATTTAAAGCAACAAGATCTGATGCCTGTGGGCATCTGTTTGCCCTGCTGCTCCAGCCTTTTGCCTGTCTTAGGGGGTATAAAGGCATGTCTTTGCTTTGTGCTGTCAAGGTTATACAAATCTTAATAGAAGCAGTTCACTAACACTCCAACACAAACATTTGAGCACACCAAACTTGACTGGCCGTCAAAAGTTATAAACTAGCGGTGTTAATGAACTCAATCTCATGGGATCACTATTGCTGAGAGTTGGGCTGTAGCATACTGTGATCTTCCAGTGGCCTCCCAAAGTGCTCTTCATGCACTCCCAACATGCTCTTCATGTGCACCCAAAAGGCGAAACAAATTTTCCCTTAACTTAGTGGGAAGAAACATGTAGATGAGCACAGGTTATCACACACAAAGTAAGGGGTATACTTCCATAGTGATTAGCACTGCTTGTAAGTCAGGAGTTACTGTGGGCACAACATGCAGGTGTAGCATATTATTGCTAGTTCTGCTTTGAATACATACTCAAATATCTACCTCTCCCATCTGGTGTTTCTGATTCAGGAAAAGCTCTGTATTTATTTGTCTTCCTTAAACAACCAAAATCAAGCATACAGGTCTGGTTTACCCTTTTGTTTGGTTCATTCAGGAGGTTTTTTGTTAGTAGCATAACAAAAGTGTGGTTTCACAGTCAGCTTCAGCAAATTTAAATTCATACTGATGCTGAAAATGGTGGTACTGCTCTCCTTTCCTGCTGCCTCCAGCTGCACCTTTCTGCTGTCTCCCTGAGGATGATGATGCTCATGGCTGCACGGTCAGCTGTGTCAGGGTGCATCTGAAAGGAGCTTCAGATGTCAGGTGGATCGTTTTGGGGTTTTTTGTTCCATCTGACTGTGGCAGCGTGAGAACTGATGGTGAAACAAGACTATTTACCTAGGTCTGAGGCAAGGAGCGTGGGGAGGGTGGAGAGAGTGGGTTAGAGGCTTGACTTGCTCTGTATTTGCCTTAGCTTAAGCCAATAATGAAACTGCATCTAGGAGTCCTCTTGCTAAACTTGGAGGTGAAACATGTTTCTTGTATCAAGGAAGACCAAACATAGGAAAAATTCCAGTGTTTGTGGTTGTTTTTTTAAAGACTTACTTTCTATAGATAATATCCTGAGGACTTGAAGCAGGGCCATCATACAGGAAAAATAAACAGGAGTGGATATTGAGCAAAACCAATGGTGAGAGCTACAGCTCAAGTAGATCCAATTACTGGTCATTAAAACATTATTGATGAGGAGAATGTTGAAAATAAACACACCAATTAGCAAAAAGGTGCACACTGTTTCTAAGCTTTGACCAGGATGAAAACTCATTGAAAAATTTGTTATTTCCTTTTTTTTTTCCCTCCATTTGATCCCATCCCTCTTCCCACATTTCCTACCTACCCAGTAGGAGCCATGAAACCAGTGGTACTGGAGATGTAGTGATTCTTCTGAGTTACATCGGCATGTGAGTTGGGAAGGGAGCATGGGGACCGTGAGGGGAAGGGAGGGGGAATGGGGGAAACAGATGGATCCTAGATTATGCTGCAGCTGAGATTGAAATAAAATTTCACCTTAAAATGGGGTGGCTGCTGCTTCTATGAAACTCTTGGGGATAATTCATCTGCCACTTGATAAATTGGCAGGGTTTCTTTCCAGGTCTCTCCTCTATTCTCCTTCATGTTTTGTATGTGTATACATGTGTGTGAGGTGTGTGAGGTATGTGTATGTAATTTTCAAGATGCCTGGCCCCCTTTTTCTCCTTGCCTAACTTCTGAAATAGTGTTGTCAGGATCATTCCAGCGTTTGGAGCCATATTCTTTCTGACAGAATATAACTCTTCTCCACAGTTTTTCTTTTTTATGGCCTGAAGTCAATGGGAATATTCAATGCAACCTGAGGTCAGGTTCTTGAATTTTAACAGAATTTCCCATGAGAACTAGAAGGATGAAAATTCCTTTAAGACAGGGAACAAAAAGTGGAACAGTAATATAAGGAGTAAAGACTTGTTACATGGCTTTAAAAAAGCAGTTTTGAAAAGGTTTCAGATTTGGGGGGGAATGAGCTTTATTTAATCTGTCCAGGAATTTAAAACCAGTCACTCTTTTGTCAGTCATTTGCGCAAAAGGATTGAACTGTCTCAGTAACTGTCTGTGCTAGCAGTCCTGAACTTCAGTAGGTCAGCTGCAAGAAGGTACATCAAGTTAAGTAATTTCAAAACTGTGTTGAAATATAACATATACAGTCATATGAATCTGTATGACATGGAAGGATTTTAAACTGCGGTGTAGCAATGGGCTATACAGGAATACAGACACTGATTTCTTCTTGAGTTCTTTAAAATGCAGAAAAAGGGTCAGTTATGAGCTGGACAGATTTGGCCAGCTCCTTTATAGCTGATCAATGTTACTACTTGATATCTTGGGAGACAGAGATTGTGAAGACTTTAGCCAACAAAGTATTTCATAATCCTGAAAGAAATGGTGCTGTTCATTTATTTTCTGCAAAGGAAGAGGTTTTATGCGTGTGCCCACCTCCACAGAGTGGAAATTCACAGGGACCTAGTTTTTATCTAGGCAAAGTTTTCCATATAGTAGTGGAAATTTTAGATCTCTTTAATATTAGTTGAGCTTTGACAAATTTGAATTCTCTTGTTCTACATATTTCTGATATCAGGAGTCTTGGGTTTTGCATTAGTGAAATAGGATGAGAATGAATGTTTTGCTATTTACAAGTTCTTTGAAGATGCAAGGTTCTGTATAGGTAGAAATCATCGCTTTTATATGGCTTTGAATGCACTAAAAAAGGTTTGCATTTTATTGGTGGTACAACTTTATGTTGATCAATGAAGAATCTAAATATTAAGTTTAGAGAAGAGTATTTTACTATATATGTTCCATTAAGAAAGACAAAACATGCTCTATTTGTGTAATATTTTAAGCTTTTGTACTTCCTCAAATGCCACCTGTCAAACTTTGTTGCCATCCTTAGTAATGGCTGCAAAGCGAGACATTTTCCAATTTTTCTACATTTGGAGGGGCTTACCATCCAATAACAATCCTATCTCATAAATGGTTTTAGGAAACAGGTTTTGAGCTGAAACATTGGCTAAGAATCATATTTTAACTATGATGTAGCATTGCAGGGAGTAAGAAAAACCCCGCAGAGTAAAACATGCCATTGGGAAAAAAAGTAGAAGAGCTGTCCCATGGTAAGATGAACTACAAAACCTCCAGCTTTCTAAATAATGACAAGTCCAATTACGTGTAAGCATTTTATGCAAAATCTACTCTCAGGATTATATTTACTGTATTGAAAGGGGCTCTGTATTTTGCCCCCCCCCTTCATTTTCTTGATCATTCATTTTTTAGTCTTTTCATAACAGTATCAATTCTTTTACATTCTGTTTTCAGCCTGCTTCATGTTCCCTTGTCTCACCTCTCCTTCCCTCTACCCCTCCTCCACACCCTTTCTCTCTTTCTCATATCATCTCAGAGCTGTTAGAAAAATACTGTCTTTTTGTGTGCAATATTCTTCAGCTCTAGCAATTTTCCATTTCACTTTTTTCTCGTTATACTTTTTTCATTTAATATTTGGGGAGAAAAATAATTTTGCTTAAAGGTGAGCCAAATACACCGTCACAATGTTTTGGCCCAAGTTAGTATTTTCAGATACAAAGTTTGTTTACAGTTTCCTATGCTTTCCATTTGACTGTTTAATTAAAAAAGGATGAGGGAAAAGAAGTTTTAGCTTTTACCATCAGCAGCAGGTGTATTTTTACAACTGCCACTGTTACTCATCCCTCGTCTAGCTCGCAGCAGCTTGGAAGCTCCACAGGCTTGCTTACACAACCTAGGTCTCATGACATGTGGAAAGACATTGGTCTGGATCTAAAATGGTCTCATGAGTATGGTTTAGGGGATGATGTGATTTGAGTGAGTTCTAAGGAGGGAAGGAAATTGATTTAAGTACTACAAAAAGTCGTTAGGGCAGTATGGTGTTGTGTGGGCAGGTGTGGTTATCTGAGCTGGCTAGGAAGTAGAATGCAAGTGATTCTAAGTAGAGTCCCCAGTTTTTGAAATCAGGGAAGCCTTCATCAACAGAGCGTCTTCTACTAGTAGAGGCTGTATTTTCAGAGTAAATGAAGACTGGAGGGAACAGTAAGCAGTTTTAATTTTACTACTGATTTGTGTATATTAGTATAGAGATCATCTCTTTGCATTTAATCCATAACTGTTCTGTTTTAGCTAAATACTTCTTTACAGTTTATATAAAAAGGCTGCGTAAAAGTGGACAGAAATGATGATACTGATCTTATGATATACAGAGCTGGCAAATACAAAGATACCACAGCATTTATGCACCATGGTGATAGATGCCTTAGAGATAAATACAAGAGAGGCAAACAGAATGAGTCAACGCCTTGCCCAATTTGCATAAAAATTTTCATAAAGTAACTTGCAGTGTTTGAGAAAGAAAATAAATATTTGGTGTTTAAGTTGCCATGGTGTTGTGGTAGTGAAAAAACCAACACTATGAACAAATAGAGCTACATCATGAGTTTACTAACCAGACACTGTCTTCTAAGTAACAAAGTGAATATGAAAAAATGCTTTAATTATGTGGAGGTGAAACGTGATACCAGCTAGTGTAATGGCAGGCTTTCCTATCCTTTTAGCTTATAAAGCAGATTTCAGCCACTGACTTCATGAAACTCTGAAGAGAATTTTGCAGCAAATGCTGTGAATTCCTGTATTTACTCTGATGAATGAGCCTTTCTCTTTATTGCGTTGGTCTTGGTGATAGAGCAGGTTTCATCAGCCTCTGAGAGAATTTTCAGCTTTTCCTTTCAGTTTGGATGAACATTTACCCAGTTTTACTAGCTTCTTTTTGAGTCAGAAGCATATTTTAATAGATCCTTCAACCCAAGGGTGATGAATGCTTCCCCTTGCATACTCCTCTAGACTAACATCTGGTTTCAGCAGACCACTTAAACATATGCCTAAGTGCATCCTTAAACATTTTGTTGGGCATATGCTTAAAGGACTACGGTAGGCACATTAAAGAGCAGGATATTCTTAAGTGCTTTTTTGAATAAGGGCCTAAATGGGAATGAAAAAAGAATTATGTGCCTTGTTTTAGTTGGGAGAATTGATTACGAAAGTATTTTTAATTTACTGATATTATCTTTTGTATTTATAGAACTTTAAAGATTGCAAAAAAATGCTTCACCTGAATTTTGCTCAATACATATATTTTAATAAATACAATTCCCCTTGGTAAGGTTTAGCTGCAGACATATTGATAAAAAAAGGAGTGCTTGGTTCCATTCAGACATATGCTAGAAAATGAGCTTGCAATACTGAAAAAAAAGTTTTAGGAGGGATAAAGAAAAAAGAAGATTGATAACTTCATGCTAACTTATTGGAAGGTGCATCAAGGTCCAAGAATTTTATGCCTTTGCTTATAGTGCAATTATTTTTGAATTGGTATTTTTTCTGTCATGCTTTTCTCTAATGGGTGAATTGCTAGGAAAGCAGAGTTCTGCATCATTGTATGGCAAGACTACTTGCTTTATTTGTAGTCCATTTACTGAGGACAAGGGTAAGAAATTTAAGGATAACTTAACATATCCACCCCTGTTATGAAATTGCTTGGTATTCTTTTAAGCTTCCATAGGAATCGTGAGGAAAACCTTAAGCAAATGACAGCAAAATTAAGCATCAGAATTACATTAGATTTACTCAAATGAGGGCTCAATGGAATAGGCACCTGGGTTTTTATTATTTTTTTTCTCTGTTTAACTTTTGCTGAAAACTCGCTGAAGAATGGTATATTTTGCCACTGTTTTTCCTTGCAGATAACTTTAAATAAAAGGAAACTGTCCCCCAAATGCATACTCATGCAGGCATTTGGAATGCAGTGAGTGTGTTTTCATTATGGTGGCAATTTCAGATGTGAACAACTATAGAGCAAAAAGTAGAAAAAATAAATAACATCTTTGGAGGTAAATTAAATTGCAGTACCCAAAGAACTGAGATCTGTCTTTCATAATTTGGACATGACAAAAAATGAAATAAAAGTAAAAGTTCAAACTAGATTCTCCACTGCTTTCAAATGCCTTTGTAAAAATGAAGTTGAAATGGAGTACAGGGACTGGCACAGCTTACAAATATTTTTCTCTTCATTTTCAACATGTAGTCATCAATGTGTACTCTGTGTAAAGATTTTGTCCACAATTCAAGAAGGCTTTATAAATGAAATTCAAAAAAAGCAATCATCTCTCTAAGTAGAAATGATCTTATCCAGGACAGTCATTTGCATAGGGTATATCAGTGTATGTGTGCACATCTATGTCTGTGGAGATGATTTAGGGAAGGGGTAGGGAAAAGACAATTCTGACAATATTATTTGTAAAGTATCTCTACCCATTCATTCCCTGAATGATGTTGCACCATCTAAAACACT